CTTATCCACCTGCGCCACTGGAGCTGACGGTTTACAGCCACTTTTAACTAAATGTAAATAGACACCCCATATTTTTTATTACATAGTAAGGGCAATTCATACAATACATTTAAACTGAGCTACTTTAATACCATCTCCGAACTTTCTACCACGACTCTGCTGTTCTTCGGCTGGTTCTTCTCTGTATACGTTGATTGGCAGATGTCTCGTCCAGTCAGCGGTGAGTAATCCCAAACCAATGGCGCTGTCTCAAACTATACCTACCTCTTCCGGTTTGTCTGATTTGTCGTTGTGTTTTCTGACTTGTTAATTTGTTTTCCGGAGTTGTCATTGTGTTTTCTGACTTGTTATAATGTTTTCTGAATTGTTGTTGTGCTTTCTGAATTGTTATTTTGTTTTTTAGACTTGCATTTGCGTTTGTAATTTGTTATTTTGTTTTCAGAATTGTGATTTGCTTTGCACTTCTCGGCCACCGTATAATCAACAGTGCTGCTAATGATCTAATCTTGTAATTTTATCATCAGCAAAAATCTAAGATACTTAGTTTGATACAATCATGTTTTAACAAGTTAGCAAGCTGGGAGTTTTAAACATTGAAGTACTTTAGAAATGTGCAAAAATGTCCCTGAACCAAGTAAATTAGCATTCAAGTGAGTGTTACAACAGACGGCAATACAAAATTGTAACAAATCAGGTTAATTTTTGGATTTTCAATTTATTGTGGTCATTATTTGAAATAATTAGACCAAATTGTAACAGTTTTTGCACAAATATTGACCAGATATTGATATTTATGCACATATATAGACCAGAATGACATTTTGTTCTCATGAGGTGTCTTTTATCTCTGTACTAACATTGTAAATGTCAAAACGTTAAATTTTTATTTTGCAGTAATTAATGCACTTCTTACATTAGAGTTTAGGGATAAGTGGTACATTTCAAAGCAATAAATAGTGCAAAAAGTAAATTTATGTAAATAGTGCAAACCTACAAACACAACAAAACACTGAGTTACATTGGTTAAAGCATAATGAGTTTTGAAATATTGAGCTTCAAAGTTTTTGCATTCTATACTTTGTAGATAACTTTTTGTTTTCTAAATAAAAAGTCCCAAAATGTACACTTAAAACCTAAAAAGTGTCAACCTGTTGGTTGATACACCAACAAACCTGTAGTCATGTTTAGTGTACTTACAGTATATTATAAAATTGTGTACTACTTGTTTATTGTAATTGTCATTTATAAAAGCCCTCCTAGGGACAAGTGTTGCAAATTAGCTTCGGCTACAAGCACATGCATGGGATGATTGTTTTCTAATTTTCATCTATGTTTATTGTATCTGTCCCTAACAAATAAAACATTAAATAAATAAAAATGCAAACATCACATAATGTAAATAAGCTAGAAACGTATAGTTCCAAGGCGACGATTTATTCGATCTGAAATCGTGTGTTTGTGTCAGTCATACATGTGGAAAATGTCAGCCTATACAATGTAAAAAATGATTGTGATTTTAACAGTAAAAGACTGTAAAAATGCTACAGTAAAAACCTGTTAACTGGTTAACAGTAAGTTTCCATACTATATACGGTGAATAAATGTAATTACATTTAATGTAATTTTACAGTAAAATACGGTTTTTGGAAGTGAAAAAGAAAAATTCATTGTATAATTTACAGTGAAAAAACGTAAATTGACGCTCCCAGAATTCCCTGCATGACACTTCATATTTGATGTTTTTTGTTTTTTTGTTGAAATAACATGTTTCTTCTTCGTTTTTTCTTATCAGTTGTGTACATTAGGGTTTAATCCTACATCTAATGTTGTTAAATCCATGTTTATTGTATTATTTCAGTATCATGTGTGTCACCGTGATGGTGTTTAGTGTTTGCGTGAATGACAATGTGTGCACCTTCTATATATAAGAAATACCCTCCTCAGCTCGTAGAGAAGCTGTTTGTGATTAGCTTTGGTTCATCATGTGACTTCCTCATCACCACCTGTTTTTGGTGGTTATCAGTGCATTACAATGGTTCAAAACAGATATTAACACTTCAATATGATGGTTTATTAACATTACATCAGTTAATGAAATACGGTATTTTATTGTGAATTTAAGTTAAATCTTTAAAACCTAAAATGTTGCAACCATATTTTTTACGGTGAAGTTCTGGCAACCACAGCTGCCGGTATTTTACTGTAAATGTCACAGATTTCTTTTTACAGTGTACACTATCTCTTTTTGTACAATGATTATGGGTCCATGTTATAACCCTGTCTGGTAAGGATTTTTCTATGTGATAATTTGACATGTAAGAAACGTGGTATTCGCATCTGATCATTATTTCAAAGGTGGGAAATTTCTAGTAAATTTTGGAAATATTCCAGAAATTTTGGAAACTTTTTGGAATATTCCTGGGATTTTTGGAAAGTTTCCAGAAATGTTCCACCCCTTTGCAACCCTATTCAAGATATTTACTACAGTTCACATATATTTATTATCTGGAATGTGTTTTGAATTTGGAGAAATTTAGAATGTGGAGAAATTTTGAAAATGTTGTTTTGTCTTGGGATTCATGTCAGGACTCTGTTATTACCAATACCACAGATCAAAAAGAAACAGCAAGATGTTGTCGGGTTTCTTGAGGCCCTTAAAATCGATTACACACAGTTTGACATTGCTTCAAACGAGGACAACCGGATGTGGATGAGGGAAAATGTCCCTGGAGAAAAGAAGCCCACCAATGGAATTCCTCTTCCTCCACAGATTTTCAATGAGGGGATGTATTGTGGGGTAAGAACCCGCTAGAATCGAGGTTACCGTAAACCTGCTGTTCTTAATGCTAAATCAAAATCACAATGTGAGTCAAGACTGAAGGTTTTTTTGTTTATCCAGGTTAAGAGATGTAAAATCAAAGACGGAGCAGAAATATAGCAATCAAACATATTCAAAAGAGCTGTAGTTCGGAAGAGAATTGTCATTTTCAAAGCAAAAGAACCGTTTACATAAATTAGTCTCCCAAGCTAACCTACAAATTCATGATGGAGCAGCTATATTAAAACATTTGTAATCTAGTTATTAAAATGTTGTTTAGCTTCATCATTCAGGTCTATAAGGGATGATTCATTCTATAATAAAAATACTGTCATCATTTACACCCCTTGCCCTTAATTTTGCTCAAAACCTGTATATTTTTTCTTATTTCTTAAATGAGCAAAAGTTGTGTGCTGTATTTCATGTCTTCTGAAAACGTAACTTTGTGTGTTCTGGATACACACAGGGAACTTATTTGTTTGCAATACCTGGAAACCACAGAATATTGAATTTAGTGAATAATGGCAATACAAAAGTAGACCTGTTTCACTGTAAGTTATTGCATGGCTTCATAAGATTTGAAATATAGTGCAAATAAGTCTACATCCATGTTTTATAGAAAAAAACAGCATGGGCATTCTGTTTGATAGCTTCTATTGAAGTTTACTGAAATGACATTGCTGTGTTGCTATAAAATGCTAATAATATTTTCCTGAATTGCAGGACTATGACACTTTCTTTGAAGCCAAAGAGGACAACTCAGTTTATGAATTTTTGGGTCTGACACCTCCACCAGGATCTAAGGTTGTATTTCTGCATGTTTCCTTTTCTTGTTTGACATGAACGTTAAAACATATTTGGCCTCAGCTATCCTGTAGATGTTTGAATGATATTATCAAATGTTGAAATAACAGAGAAAATGGAAGTAGGGTAAAAAGTGAAAGATGTTTTTCTTCTTTTTCTCAAAACTCTTCTTTAAATCCTTTGTCCACTTTAATGTATGTAGAATAATTCATATAAATTCTCATTGAAAAATCGAATCAAATAACTGTAAATGCAATATCTCAAACTTCTTGCAATCCTCTAAAACAAGGGGGGGGGGGGGCCT